TGTCCTTATTCCCAGATGACATGATACTGTACATAGAAAACTCCAAAGACTCCATCAAAAAGACTACTACACCTGATAAATTAATTCAGCAATGTAGCAGGATACAAATTAACACCCAGAAATCTATGGCCTTTTTATAAACCAATAATACACACACAGAAAGAGAAACTAAAAAAACAATCCCATTTACCATTGCAACAAAAAAAATTAAGATACCTAGGAATAAAATTAACTAAGGAGGTAAAAGACCTGTACTCAGAAAACTACAGGACATTAAAAAAAGAGAGAGGAAGACATAAACAAATGGAACACCATACCATGTTCATGGATTGGTAGAATCAACATCATTAAAATGTCCATACTACCCAAAGCAATCCACAGATTCAATGCAATCCCCATTAAAATACCAATGGCATATTTCAAAGATCTAAAACAAACTCTCCAAAAATTCATCTGGAATAAAAATAAAAGTACCCCAAATAGCCACAGCAATCCTGAGAAAGAACAACAAAGTTGGAGAGATCACAATACCAGATATCAAGATATATTTCCAAGCCATAGTTTTCAAAACTGCCTGGTACTGGCACAAGAAGAGTACATAGAGACCAATGGAACAGAACAGAGAACCCAGAAATCGACCCAAGCCATTATGCTCAGTTAATAGTTGAAAAAGGAGGCAAGAGCATACAATGGAGTAAAGACAGTCTCTTCAATAAATGGTGCTGGAAAATTTGGTCAGATACATGCAAAAAAAAAAAATGAAACTAGATCACCAACTTACACCATACACAAAAATGGCTAAAGGACTTAAATGTAAGATGGGAAACCATAAAAATCCTACAAGACTCCATAGGCAGCAAAGTAGCAGACATATGTTGTAGCAATATCTTTACCGACTCAGCTCCTAGGGCAATGGAGACTAAGGAGAAAATAAACACATGGGACTACATCAAAATTAAAAGCTTCTGCACAGCAAAAGAAACCATCAACAAAACAACAAGAAATCCCACAGCATGGGAGAAGATATTTACCAATGCTATTTCAGAGAAGGGTTTAATCTCCAAAATTTATAGGGAACTCATACAACTTAACAAAAGAAAGATAAACAATCCAATCAAAAAATGGGCAAAGGACTTAAAGTAGACACTTTTCAAAAGAGGACATACAGAAGGCCGAGAGACATATGAAAACATGCTCAAAGTCACTAATCATCTGAGAGATGCAAATCAAAACAACAATGAGGTACCATCTCACACCTGTCAGAATGGCTATCATCAACAAATCAACAAACGACAAGTGCTGGAGAGGATGTGGAGAAAAAGAAACACTTGTGCACTGCTGGTGGGAATGCAGACTGGTGCAGCCACTATGGATGACAGTATGGAGTTTCTTCAATAAGTTAAAAATGGAACTCCAATTTGACACAGTAATCCCACTTCTAGGACTATATTCCAAGAAACCAGAAACACCAATCAGAAAGGATATATGCACTCCTATGTTCATAGCAGCACAATTTGCAATAGCTAAGATTTGGAAACAACCTAAGTGCCCATCAGCAGATGAGTGGATTAAAAAACTGTGGTACATCTACACAATGGAATACTATGCCGCTATAAAAAAGAAGGAATTTTTACCATTTGCAACAGCATGGATGGAACTGGAGAGCATTATGCTAAGCAAAATAAACAAGTCAGAGAAAGATAAATATCACATGATCTCACTCATATGTGGGATATAATGATCAACAAAAATTGATTAACAAAAATAGATCCAGAGACAAATGGCAGGGGAGGTGGGGGGATAGAGAGCAACTAAAGGACTTGTATGCATGCATATTAGCATAACCAATGGACACAGACACTGGGGCGGTGGGGGCTTGGCCGGGGTGGGAATGGCTGGGGTATTGGGTGGGGAGGGTCCAATCGGGTAAAAAGGAGACATATGTAAAACTTTAGACAATTTTAAAAAATTGCATTACATTGAAATAATAATAATGCCCGTACTGGAACCTCTTATATATATATATATCATAAATATCTTATATTTCTTGCTCACACCACAGGCAGCATCTACACAAGCTGCTCCCCAGCTCGTTTCTCAGTGCATCGTGGGTCCTGGGGACCTTTCCCTCTCGGCGTGGAGAGCACGTCTGTGTTTCCTCCCACAGGGCAGCCTCCACTGCACAGGAGTCCCCATGGGTGGCATCTGAACTGTCTCTGATTTTTGTTATTATAACTGATGCTCTAAGAAATGACTTTGTGCCCTGGCCGGTTTTCTCAGTGAATAGAGCATTGGCCTGTGGACTGAAGGGTCCACAGAAGATTCTGGTCAAAGGCACAAGCCTGGGTTGTGGGTTTGGTCCCAATCAGGTGGCAGCCCATGATTCCCTCACATCATTGATGATCCTCTCTTTCTCTCCCTCCCCCTTTCTCTATGAAATCAATAAAAATATATTTTAAAAAATAATAATTTTGTCCATCAGTTATTTCACACAACCCTGTGCTGATCTGTCAGATAAATTCCTAGAACTGGGATTTTGGGTCAATAAATAAGTAGTTTGTATTAAAGTTGTTCTACCCCCGCCCCCTCAATATAAGGTGTGTCAATTTATACAAAATTATACCAACACACGTCTAAGAGTGTCTGTCTCCCCACAGTCCTGCCATCAGTGATACCAACTACATGGTTTGTTTGCTGCCAAACTCACAGGTGGGAACGTCTCCCTGCTCAGTGAGACTGGACACCCTTCCCCGAGGTATTTCCTTCTGGGAACCGTTCATTTCTGTACTGAGCTGTTTCATGTTTTGAGGAGCTCAGCCCTTTCTCCAGGACGTGTCTGCACACACTTTCCCCACTTTGTCATGTGTTTGCTGATATTTACCATTTGCCCTTCCCCATCGCCTGTCCCAGGTGGAGGCAGCAGAGATGCTCAGAAAATGTCTGTGACATCAACAGCTTCAAGGGGCAAAGGGCACCCAGGTCCCTGCTCTGAGCCTTATGTTCACTGCACAGACCCAGGTCAGCAGCAGACACTCAGGCCTCCTTCTCCCAGTGGCCACAGCTGAGCTCAGTGTGGGGCCAGGCACTCACCTGCAATGGAGACCCTGGCTGTCTTCTCCTGGCTGAGCAGGGGGTTTCTGACGACACAGGAGACCCCCTTCCCAGAGCCGCCTTCCAGGATCACAGATGACGTGACTGCGTACAGACCCTCTCCATCTGCAGCCCCAGGCGCTGCCATGGCGGGCAAGCTCTCTCCCCCTTCACCTCTCCACTCTACATGGGGCTGCGGATACCAGCCTGCAGACGTGCACTCCACACGGATCCGTCCATCTTCATTGTCCTTCATTTCAATGTGAAGATCAGAGCCCAGAGCTGGGGAAGGAAGAGTGAGCCTGAGTCATGGGGAGGCCTCTGTGTTGGTGAGGGTCCATCAGGAATGGGGGTTCACTCCACTAGATCACACAGGCAGGGTTCACTAAGGAGCTGTTTACCACGTGTGCTGTGCAGGGGAGACTGTTCCGTGGCGTGACCACTGCCTGACCCTCATGGACCCTCGAACTAGATCCAGCTGGATCTGGTCCAGAACCGAGACTGCATCTCGGGGATCCCCTCAGAGACACCTGGACCCTCCCCCTGCCCCAGATGTGCTGGTTCCTGGAACTGGTCCTCACCTGCCCCAGGCATGTAACTCATTCCCCTTATCTGGGCGGGTCATGCCCCAGTCCCCTATCTATCCTGCCTGTCCTGTGTGAGCTTTAGGCTTTTCCAGGTGGTGGGGAGGATATGCACATTTTATTGCTGCAGCTCACACTGTTCCTGGTATGAAAGTCACTGTGGTGAACTCTTGATATCATTAATCTAGAGTTTACAGCCTCTTTTTTGGGTCTTTGGACTCAGGGAATTTTTTAATTTTTATTTTTTTGTGGTTGTGGAAGGGGAACGACTACATGGGAAAGAGCTGTCCCAGGGCCAGGAATGGTGAGCTGTTACCACCAGTCACTAAACTCTTAACCCAAGGGGGTCGGGGGGTGGGGTGTGGGAGGAAGCCTTTTGAAGACATGCAAGAACCCAGTCCTGTATGGAGGGATTTCTTAAGAGGAGCTGTGGTTTCCGAAGGGATTGAAGCTGACTGAGGAGGCCCTGCAGGAAGTAAGCCAGGACCTCCCACCCCAACCCCCACCATCCTTCCTTCCTGTGCAAGGTAGGGTTGTGCCCAGAGAAAGAGATATGATGTTGGACATAAAAAAAATTCATGGAACAGCAGCATCAGACAAGGATGCTTTGTCCCTGTGATGGATCAGGACAAAACCTCTCAGTCATCAGATCTGAACATAAAATAAAACATGAACAGTGTCCAGACCACAGCAACCAGCAATCATCCCCTGTCCTAGGTGTGAGTGACCAGTTACACCTCACACCCTCCTGACAGCATCTGATCCAGAGCAGAGCCCTCCTTCCATAAACCTTCCCCTGGTCCCCTATCACCCCAAAAGTTATACCAAATCTCCCTGACACCCCCTCATGGGGACACCCCATGTTTCCACACTGTGTGTTCTCACTGCAACTAGTCCTAAACTCAACTTGTTCTACTGCAGGTGTGATCCTGGTGTCTTGGTTGAAGGACATGGCAGCACAGGTGATGTCCCTGCAGCTCAGCCTCCCAGGACCCACAGGAGCGAGCACCTGGGGGCCCAGGTCCACTGCCTGGAACACACCTGAACCCACTCAACTGTGTGCCCCCCACGAGGGGAGGTTTCCTCAGCCTTCCTGCCCCGACCCCACATCCCTGCTGAGACCCTGGTGGCTGCAGGAGGGGCGTCTTCACTTGGTTCAGGAGGAGCCCTTCCTACAGGAAAACCTGTGGATGTCAAGGGCCCAGAGAAGCAGAGGTGGAGGAGGGAGGCAGTTGCTGGGGTGTAGGCAGAGGTCTGTGAGGTGGGCTAGGAACCTGTGTCCCCAGTTCCCACAGAAGAAGGAGCTCAGAACAAACTCAGGCTCACCTGCAACATTCAGCTCCACCTGGGTTTTTGCAAGGAAATCGGCATCTTGGAAATAACACTGGTAGGTTCCACTGTCAGAGGTTCTGACCTTGTGAATCCGCAGAGCAGCCTTCCCCTCAGCGATGTCCTCTCTTAAAATCGACGTTCTCCCTCGATACTCTGCTATCTCTGTTCCTTCCTTGCCATCTGCATATGCACACACCGCCTGCCTGAGGCCAGATCGCAGCCACATCAGCTCCATGGACTCAGCGCTCATCTTTGGGGACAGGTGACAAAGCAACTCAACATCTTCACCCACCATGGCCAGAATGGGCTCAGGGGGTCCAATCACAGCAAACTCAGCTGGTGAATAGAAAGGGGTGCTCCATCAGAAAGAGCTGGAGGCCAGAGGGTAAAGGTGTGTACCAGGGTAAGAAACACCTAGACAGGGACTCTGTTCTGATAGATGTACAGTGTGGATGGGCCTCCCAGGTGTGGTAAGGAGTCCAAGGTTCTGACTGGGCATTATAGGTAACTGATCCAGGTACATAAATGCACATGGTCCCTACCTGAGCAGGGCGTGAGCAGCTGGACCAAGGCGAGGCAGACAGGCAGGTGGAGCAGATGGAAGGCCAGGGGCCTCACCATTGTGGGCTGTTGTGCAGACAGAGAGACACCAGAAGGAGTTGGTAGAAATGACGACCTGGAGGAAGATGGTGAATCCACATGAGACCTCTGCCTCCCCAGGGCCGAGTCCGGGTGCAGCCACCATCACTGGTGACCCCAGAGCCTCCTCTCAAATGCCTGCTTGGGAGTCTCTTCACCTTTGACTCCAACATGGAAAACCACCCTAAAGTCTGTAACCTGAAGTGTCCGTCCCTTGGCCCTGGCCACCTGGGAGTCCTAGGCTCTGTGTCCAATGGGCTCACAAGCTTCCATTTGCCCACACTTCCTGGACAGCCTGTCCGCGCCTCCAGCATCTCACTCTGATTAAGACAGGACCCCCCTCTCTGAGCCCCGATTCCACTGGGGCCCCTCAGTCTCTGCTTCACACCACAGCCTGAATACTCCGGCCTCCCTCACTTCACGCCTCTCCTCAGCCTCCAGGGGCTCCCACTGCCCTCAGAGCAGGAGCTGGAGTCCTCTGCTCCCTGCACTTTCTAAGTTATCTGAATATTTGAAATTTTAAGATCTCAGAGAGGAGAATATATTTCCACTTATTTTGGGGGATAGTTATTGCATTTATTCTTGATCATAAACTACTTTAAAATAAAAATAAGTCAAATTTAAATAATTCATAATAGGAACCACATACTTTGCTACATATGAATGTAAATATTTCTGGACATATTTTGGAGATATATATATATTTGCCTTAAATTGTTTTATTCTTTTACCCAAAATATCTCTTTCAGGAACTATTCCTAAAGAAAATTGATCAGGCATCAACACAAAGGTTTATATTTAATGCTGTTCATCATAGTAAAATCTACAATACCAAAATGTAGATACAATTTAAATTCCCAAATTGGATCCAATTTTGTGATAATAACAAAAACTTTTATAAAATTTTATTAAATGATTCCTAAACCTATAGCTACGATCATACTCAATGGTGAAAAGCTGAAAAGTTATTCTCTAATAACTAAGATCTGCAATAAGACAAGGTTGCCCACTCTCACCACTCGTGTTCCCACAGTATTGGAAGTCCTGGCCACAGCAGTCAGACAAGACAAAGAAATAGAAAGCATACAAATCAGAAAGGAAGAAGAAAAACTCTCACTATTTGCAAAGGATGTGATACAATATGTAGAAAAACCTGAGGACTCCATCCAAAACAAAACCCATCAGAACCAATCACTGAGTTTAATAATGTTGCAGGATAGAAAATCAGAAACCTGTTGCATTTCTATACAGCAATAATGAATAATCAGAAAGAGAAAATTTTAAAATCTCATTTACAAGTTTACCCACAAAGCATAAAATATCCAGGAATAAATTTAACCAAAGAAATGAAAGACCTATAGACTGAAAACTATAAGATACTGAAGAAAGAAATTAAAGAGGATACAAATAAATGGAAGGATAGGATATACATGCTCATGGGTTAGAAGGATTAACATTGTTAAAATGTCCTTACTACCTAAAGCAATATCCACATTCAAGGCAATCCCTATTAAAACACTAATGGCCTTCTTCTCAGAGATAGAACAACTCATCTTAAATGTATATGGAACCACAAAGATCCCTAATGTCCAAAGAAGTCTTGAGAAAGAACAGAGTTGGAGGCATCCTACTCCCTGATATAAAACTATACAAAAGTGTCTACAGTAATAAACAGCATGGTACTGGCATATAAACAGACACCCAGTTCAATGGGACAGGCAGAGAGCCCAGAAAGAACCCTCACTTATATGGTCAATTAATCTGTGACAAAGGAGGCAAGAATATGCAGTGGGGCAAAGACAGTCCTTTCAAAATGGTGCTGGTAAAACTGGACAGACACATGCAAAAAAAATGAAATTGGCTCACTTTCTTACACCAAATGCAAGAAGGGACACAATATGGATTAAAGATTCAATGTGAGACCCAAAACTATAAAAGTAGAAGAAAACAGAGGCAGTGAACATCTGACATTCCTCTTAGTAATGTATGTTTTCAATGTGTGTCCTCAGACAAGGGCAGAAAAATAAATAATAAGCAAATGGGACCATGTGACACAAAAGGACAACCTACTGAAGGGAAGAATATATTAGCCAAGGATACATCCAATAAGGAGTTAATAGCCAAAATTTGTTTTTTAAAATCATGCAATTTAGCAGCAAAAAAACAAACAATACAATTTAAAAAGGGGCAGAGGACCTGAATAGACATTTACCTAAAGAACAGGTACAGATGGCCAACAGGCATATGGATTGGAAACCCCTCCACTGTCAGACAATGTGATGTTTATCCATTCTTCAACTGTTGTATACGTATGCTGTCTCATATATTTTTATATTACAATACTAGAGGCCCAATGTACGAAATTCATGCAAGAGGCTCGGCACTCGCAGCCCTGGTTTTGTCTGGAAGGTCGTTTGGCCATCTGATCTAATTAGCACATTATTATTCTAGAGTACATATAATTCTGTAGTGAACATCTTTTCATATAAATCTTTAAGCCACACATCTTGTAACTCACCCCACCATTATTTTAACGTTATTTCTGTAAATGTGACTGCACATAAACAGCCTGTTCGCTTAAGAATTCTAGGCACTAACTTCAGGAAAAGCAGACTCCAACCTCCAGACATTCTATCTCCGAAGATTTGCTGACCTTCAACCAGTAATCTGCACAGACTGTGTTGGCTTCCACTTAGTCCCCTCAATGGAGAACCCTCAACCCCCTCCTTTTTGTTCCTTTCTTGTTCTTCCCCCCTCTCCTCTTCCTCACAAAAACCCCTGCCTGTGTCCAACTGTCTTTGCAGCATGTGTCTACCATCTTCTGAAGCTGCAGGCTCTAGAATTAACCGACATTCCTCCCACCAGTCCCATGATCTCTATGTGGTCTTTCCAGTGGCAGGCAGTTGAACCTGGGTTCTGTCTTTTAGAATCTCTTAGAATACATTCCCAGAGAAGAGCAGGCGAGCCGGTCAGAGGCCTTAATGACCACAGTAAGTTCTTAGGAACATGTAGTTGTCAAGCTCGCTCATTCCGGTTGTCTCCCTCCCACAGATTTCTGAGTTCAGGCTTTCCCTTGCCCTGCCAGGTCTCACCGTGTCCTCACCTGCAGGCTCACCCAGCTTCTCAGCCTCTCTCCTAAAGAGACCTGGGGCCCTGGCTTTTACCAACTCCCCCACTTACAGTTGGCACTTTCAGCTGAAAACCACAGAACAAAGGCACTCCTTAGGTCTTCATTACAGTTGAGTCTCTGATCTGGAGGAAAAGGTGGGGAAAGAAAGCTTGCTCAGGAGGAGAAAAAGTGCAAAGTCCCTCTTTGAAAGCACTTGTTATAAAAAGAGTGATAATAACCTTTACTTTGCTCTGGGTGTGTGATCGGTGGGGTGCTCCAAAAGTCTCCACCTGTTCCTGGTGGGAGTGGAGTTCTTGGGGTGCCACGGGAACAAAAATGTCCTGAGGCCCCACAGGAGGATGAGGTGCTGGGGAAGCTTTATTTCTGTTGAATCAAAACCCTGAGTTTCCAAGAGCCCATCTCCCTCCGTCCTGCCATGAAAAGGTCCCATTTTGTCTTCAGCAGAACCAGGATTGCAGCCATTCCCAGTGTGTCTGCCCCATATTTGCACAGTCCCGTCCAGTCCAGCATCTGGTGGGGGAGCTTGTGCTCCCAGCTGTGGTCCATGGCCTGTGGGTCTGCATGGCCATGCTCCACTCAGCTTCTAGGACCACATGGCAGCCTAGCAGGGTCACTAGCAAGGAAGAAACAGGACAGCAAGCAAGAGCAACAGAGAGAGAGAGTTCTTAGTCTGGAGATTATGTATTCCCAATGTTGATGGGCCTGCATTGGGTGCACCCTTTTAGCCAATGATCTTTGTTCCCAGGTTAGGCTGACAGGCAGGCCCCTTCCCTATGTCACCCGGTCTTCACTGCACATGTGCCATCTTCCCTTTGTGGAGCCCTTCCCCAGTGACTTCCAGGGAATAGACTGGCTCCCTGGGGAGTGTCAAGTTGCAGCTTCCTGGTGAGGCTGCCCAGATGACCTTGCTTATTATGTCTGGCCTCCCCTTTGCTCCTTCCATATTATTAATATGAATGACCAGCTACTTATGAGGATAACAGGTGTGTGTTTATTACACAGGATTCTACTGCAATCATGCCTCAAAACAGCAACCAGGCCTCAACACAAACACCGAACGTCTCAGGAGATTTTATCCACATTTATTTTCTCCTTCGTGGGTCTACAGGGGGACAGGGTGCAGCTTGTCCTGGTGGGCTCTCCTGGGCCTGGCTAACTGGGTTTTACTCAAGGCTGCAGGTTGGGTTCCAGTCAGTTCCAGGGGTCTCTCCATTCTGGGACCAGGAGCTACAGGACAAGTTCTTCATTTCCTCCTCTTCCCCCCTCCCCTCACCCCTCTCTCCTCCAACTCTCCCATCCCAGTATCTCTCCCTCCTTTTCAGGTTCCTGTCCCCCTTCCCTCCTCCTCTCCCCAGCACCCCCCCCCCACCTCTTCCTCCAACTTCTCAGATGATTATCTTAGAGCCAGTGGTTCTCAACCTGTCCCTCGTGACCCCTTTGGGGGTCAAACGACCCTTTCACAGGAGTCGCCTAAGACCATCGGAAAACACATATTGAATATATAATTACATATTGTTTTTGTGATTAATCACTATGCTTTCATTATGTTCAA